TGTAGGAAGAATATACAGCAGGAGCTTCTTTGGGCATATATAGCAAAAAAGATGCCAGGTAAATTAAAACTACATACAATATTGTATTTTAGACAAGGAGAAGTAGTGTACTTAGAATTCAGAACATAAAACTTATGGAAGGGAAATTAATCCAACAATAAGACTAGTATCCAAAGAAACAGGAACTCCACACAAAAAGCTAAAAAGAACAATAGGACACATTTCCTCTGATTTTACTTTTTCTTACAGGAACCTTGCACTTATGATGAATTTCCAACATTACAGATGCCACCAAACAATTCTACAAGCAAATGATGAGTCTATCTAGTTTTTGATGTGACTTGGCATGGAAATTTTTGTTATGGTCCTTTATCAGCTGTACACATATCTGTGTTTAATGAACATTTTAAGTATGACTGATATAAGGGAAACAGCACATGATTTTTTAACTGTGAAACATGACACCATGCCACTACATGGTGCATCCTCAGGTCGCGGATGGAGGGTCAGCCTCCAGTTATGGAGGTTAGCTGAGAACATATTGAACAAACAGTAGCGGAAAGCCGATAAGGGGTGGTCTTTTAGATTGGGGGCGTAGGGCTAACAACCATTCACCATAAAAAAAATTTAAAATTATGAAAACAACAATAAAGCTACGGAATAGGACGAATTGTATGCATTTACGACGAAGGTAATTTGACAAGTTTAGCAGATACCACATGAAAATTCTGCTAGACTTCAATGCCAAAATTGGTCGGGAGAATATTTTAAAACCGACTATAGGGAGTGAGAATTTACATGAATTTAGTATTGACAATGAGGTGAGATTAGTCAACTTTGCCACATCCAAAAATCTTATCGTCAAATTTTAGCGAAATAAAGCATGGTTCAATGAAGAATGCTCTATCTTGGTAAGACGGAGGAAGGAGGTTAGACTGAAATGGCTGCAGGCCCGTACTCGAATAAACAGGGAAAAATATTGCAGTGTAAGGCGCGAAACCAGCGGAACTTTGAGGAATGAGACGAGGGTGTATCTAGAAGATCAGATACGGGGGCTGGAAACTAAGAGCAAAAATTAACACATCTGAGGCATAAGTGAATTCAAGAAGGGGTACAAACCTAGAAGACGTTTGATCACGGACGAAAATGGGGATCTGCTCGCGGACTCACATGGCATAGTAGACAGATGGAAAGTTACTAAACGTCCACGTAGCTGATCAATTTAAAGAGACTGAAGTACATACAGCACAGCCTTAATGAAGATGAAATTGCGATTGCGAAATTAAAACGTTATAACTCTCCAGGCATCAAATCAATTCCAGCTAAACTAATGCATGCAGGTGGTACGACACTGCACTCAGAGACACATAAGCTTATAGTCTCGATCTGGAACCAGGAAGTACCACCACAACCATGGAAAGAATCAATTATTGTCCCTATGATTTCCGAGGTATCTCTCTTTTGTCGACGTCATAAAAAGTGTTATCGAATGCACTTCTGGCACGGTTAACGCCATTTATGAATCAAACTATCGGGGGCGATCAACGTGGATTCCGCCGTAATAGGTCAACTACTGATCAGATCTTTCGCATTCGACAAATATTAGAGAAAAAGTGGGAGTATAATGGAAAAGTTCAACTATTTTTGGACTTTAGGAAGGCATACGACAGTTAGAAGAGAGGTACTTTACGGCATTCTGACTGAGTTTGGAATACCAAAGAAACTTGTTCGATTAATTAAAATGTGTATGGATGGGGTATTAGTAGAGTTCGTATAGGCAACCTTCTGTCGGATCCCTTCCCAGTGCAGAATGCATTTTAATTTTGCTCAAGAACATGTCGTCAGGAAGGTAAGAGAAGGACACGAATTAAACGGTATGCACCAGGTACTTGCTTAAGCTGATGATGTCAATTTTCTGGGGGATGGTGTGGGTACCATAACCAAAAATGCAGAAACTCTCCTACAGGCTAACAAGGAAATAGGCCTAGATGTAAATGTAAACAGAAGCAAATACAGTCCACGAGGAAGGAGGAAAGATGGCGTCTGCCTTTAACGATCCGGACTCACTGCATTCCTTGCAAGTCTCAAGATTACAGTCGTGGACTGTACATGGTCGTAATACGGGATCCACATAAGCAACAACGGCAAAACATATTATAACTAAAGCATCATTTGAAAATGTTTAGAAATTTAAGTATCTGGGAACAATAACATAGAAATTAGGTCCATGATGCAATTAAGAGTAGAATGCATTCGGGGAACGCCTGTTTCTATTCAATTCAAAAACTGTTAACGTCTCGTTTACTATCCAAAACACTAAAGACTGCCCTCTCACAGAAAACTTTACTTATTCGTAAGCTTCAAAGAAATCGCCCGGACGGCCTTGGTAACGAACTTGATAAGAAAAAGGACAAACGATGAAGATAATAAGAAAAGAATCTGAAGTATTTTCAATAAAGGGCCGAATAAGAAGACACAAATAATATTGGCTAGAACACGTGGAGAGGACGGGAAAAGGCCGAATGCCGAAACAGGTCCTTTGGTATAGACCCAAAGGAAGAAGGGATCCTGGAAGACCACGCAGAAGGCGGCACAGGCCATCGGCCTAATCCGTGAACTGGAGGAGGAGTAGAAGTACATGTACATCCATCTATCTCTTACCCAGTCCACAAGTAACAGTGCTGAAACTACAAGCTCAGTTTCAATTAAACTCAGTTAACTACACTTTCGTTTAGTTTGATTTATTGCAACTCTACCAGTTAAATTAACTTTCAAGTAGGCCGATTTGTTTCCGAGTTATTACATATTTACTAACTCGATAAACTGCATTCTTATTTAATGAGTATTATCACGTGTAAGATTCAATTTAATTTGAAAGGCACCTTTACTCCGGGCTGAAGTACAGTGCTATTCATCTGAGACTAAACAGCTTTGATAAAAGTGTAGATGTTCATAAAAAACATGTTAAACCACATACGACATTGCACGAAATTTCCTGATTTAGAGACTGGTATAATTACACCTATTAAATTTCCTCCTTCGAAAGCGTTGTCCAAGCTCCCGCGATCGCCCTGCCATCCAGTAGTTGTTTTCTAAGGCAACTCCACCTCCCGCAATATGGGAAACCACAAAAGACATTTTTCAATATTTAAAACTTCAACAAACCATCAAAGTTAAAAAATTACCGAAATTAAAAGACGCAAAACTGATTACAAATAACACCAACATACTTTGGTCATGTTCCACAAACTACACCACAGAAACAATTTTATAACGCCGATGACTAAAACGAAAATAAAACTTTTTTCAGCTAAATATAATTAATATTCTCATTACATATCACGAATACCACTGTTTAATCATTAACTGTGTATACCTGAAGAATGCAGTTTCTGGACTCATCACGAAGTTGCTAGCTCAGCAGCTAATTAAAATCATGTTTGCAACTGTACGCCGAGATCTTTCGTCCGGGAAATCGTAAGCCAACACTACAAAGCCGTAAGAAGTGAACCTGTCTCGCTCTATCGAATGCCGTTGCAATTCATGCGGAACAGACAGAAAGACCCACGATTCCAAACTCGTTTACAGCCATTCATGAAATAAGTGAAGATACCTGTTTTATGTTTTTCGAGTCGCGATTAGAAATGCAATATGTACTTACGATATGTTTTTATTCCCTACGCCAATACAAAATAAGCGAGTGCCCGGATGCTATACCTGGCTGATCCACACGAATGTAAAACCTGCAAAACAGCGGATCCCTC